AAGTACGTCCATTCAAAGGGTGTCAAGGATCATTTTCGTGCTTAGTTCTCTAGGCATCTGCTGTTACTTCTCTCCTGATCTTAGGTGGGGCAATTCCCATGAGAGTCTATAAGTTCTCAGTTGGTGTAGGTTAGAGCAGAGTTTCCCAACCTTTCTGGGTTGGTGGCTTGGAGGGGAGAGAGTGACAGGCACCTTTATGTCCATTTGCACCTGTGCAAATGGGTCTGTGAGTGTGTGGGCAATGCAAACAAGGCCATGCACACCTGTGTGATGCTTGTGGTGATGCTAGCACCCACGTGATGCTTGCACCGATGCTAGCACCCGTGCAATGCTCATGGTGACACTAGTTCCCACATGATGCTAGTCCAGTGTGCCTCTGAGTAAGTCACTTAAACTAGATATTTGGTGTTACAATGAAAATGTGGCACTTTACATACTTGCATAAGAGGCCTCCGTGCAAGTAGAAAAGGGAATCACTTTTGGTGATAAATGGGAAATTGAACTGTTGTGGATCACAGGACACATTACAGCCAAAAGGAAGCTGGATGCCGCGTCCAGGCTGCCAAAAATTCTCTCTGGACCAAGGAGAGATCCTGAGATCGTCCAAATGTACATAAGACAGCTGGGTTTTTTGGGTGAGCAGACAGCAGAAACTGATGTTTTTGAACTCGCTTATATTCAGCCAGGAGCTGTGAGATTTCATCATGCTCAGAGCTGTTAACATAGCCTTGTTTTTGGACTCAATATTCAATCATACCTCATCTTTTCAATCCCTTTGTGTTTTATTTATATTTATTGTATGTTAAATATTGAGAAACATTCATAATCATAAATTTGACATTAGCTGGTTGAGTTCTTCAATCCATTTAGAAAGAAAGTAACTTAAATGTGCTAGTGGGGATTTTATTTAAAAAAAATGTTCAGCAAGAAGGTGACAATAGTGTTGATTTTGGAAAGTTTTAAACAGACTAAAGGTTAGTTGGATTTGAATTAAAGAAGAACTTTGATGTTAATTAAGAGAATGCTTTCTTGTGGAAAAATTTGTTTTGTTCACATTTAAGCAGAAAAGATAACTTTGAACATTCAATACTCGAGGGTACTAGATGGCATCCCTAAAAGAATTGTTTGATATTTGGGTATAAGAGGTTTTCAAGTTATTTAACTGTATAATAGAACTAAAATGTGCTACTGAAAAGGAAGAAGCTTCATTGAATAAAACTGAAGTGATTTTAAGGATTTAAGAATTATAACCCATAAGAAAGAGATGGGAATAATGGATCTACAAATGTAATTTGCTGATGATTTTAAAGCACAGAAAGGATTTGCTGGAGTTAATATATTGGAACTACAGAAAGATGATAAGAATTTTGAAAGAAGAGATAAAGAAACTAGGAGAAACAGATGTTAGAACTTCTTTTGTGGGAAAAGAAGAAAAATACAACACTGATTTATTTGATCATGGTTAAAATAATGGACTGTTATTTCTGGTGATGTCTTTTTTTTTTTAACAAATTGAATGAGGATTTTTATTTATGGTAATGTTTACTTGGGGGTATTGGATATAATTTGTAATACTTAGGTTTTTTTTTTTTCCAGATAAATAATGGGTTGCTATTTCTGATGATATTTAATGATTTCTTTTGATTGGGACTGGATGATGAATTGGGCTTTGATTATTTAAAGAGAAGGGTTAGGGGCAATTTATTTAAATGGAAGTGGAGATATAAATACTTAAGGTGTTATTTTTGATCACCTTTACTTGCCTTTTACTGATAAGTAAGAAAACATGAAGATTTAGAGATGGGCTTATAGAAAATTGGCTGAGCTATGGAATGCAGGAATGTTTGATTGCATTTTAAAAGATGTGATAATTTGTGATGTGTATAATACTTGCTGGGGATGAGGGGGAAATTTACTTTTTCTTTTCTCTTTTTAGATTTTTTAAAATTTTACCATTATTATTTTTATAAATAGCTCAAATACTCAAATACCTAATACTCCTTCCTCCTCCTATTTCCCCCACAATGACAACCCTGTGAAGTGAACTTGGGGGGGGGGGAGGAGAGAGAGAGAGAGAGAGATTGGCCAAAACCAAGTCACCTTCTTGGCTTTGTCGTTGGCCAAAAATAAGCCATTGTCAGTACATGTTTCTGGCAGTAACTGACATAGTAGAAGATGGGCTGGGCTCTGAATCTCTCCATATTCACACCAGGGGCCGTATTCACTTACCTTCGCTACCGGTTCGCCAATGTGAGCGCACACATGCTCACTTTGCGAGCACGCTCTACCTCTGCGCATGCACAGGATCTTCCACGTATGCGCAGAGCGTCAAAAATGGGACATGATTACATCCGGGTGAGTGGGCGGAGCTTCCCGCCACCACCACTACTGGTTCACCCGAACCGGTTAGAACCAGCTGAATACCACCACTGATTCACATGGCATATTGTTATCTGCTAACAGCCTCCAATTGAGCATATTAGTCTTATACTTAGGCACTCTGCCAATTCAGGGAGGGTAGTATAACGGAGCTCAGATCCTTCAGCCCTATCCTCCTTTAATGTTATTCCTTGGCTCAATGGTTTCCTTCCTCCATCTTTCAATTCTGTTTTGCTCTTACGTACCATCAAGAGTCTTGCCATAAAGTACGTCCATTCAAAGGGTGTCAAGGATCATTTTCTTGCTTAGTTCTCTAGGCATCTGCTGTTACTTCTCTCCTGATCTTAGGTGGGGCAATTCCCATGAGAGGCTATAAATTCTCAGTTGATGTAGGTTAGAGCAGAGTTCCCCAACCTTTCTGGGTTGGCGGCTTGGAGGGGAGAGAGGGGTAGGCACCTTTATGCGTGCCTGCACCTGTGCAAATGGGCCCATGAGTGTGCGGGCAATGCAAACAAGGCCATGCACACCTGTATGATGCTGGTGCTGATGCTAGCACCCACGTGATGCTTGCACCGATGCTAGCACCCGTGCAATGCTCATGGTGACACTAGTGCCCGCACGACACTAGTCCAGTGTGCTTGCACACATGCGCGCTGGCCAGCCACTCACCCATCCCAGTTGCCAACAGGCCATGGCTCGGTAGTGGGCCATGGCTCACAGATTGGGGACCCCTGTGTTAGAGGCATCCTTTCACTAAATATACTGCTTCATTGATGGCAACGTCAACTTGTTTTGCGTGTGCAGATGCATCCACTCTGGAGCAGTATTGAAGGTAAAGCCAAAAGACACCCCCGTCCCTAAAATTGCAATCTCTATAGAGAATTATTATTTGCATACCAACAGCATGCTCTTCTACAGAGACACTTAGGGCCAAAGCTGATGTGTGCCTCATGGATGGCTGAGCTCCCTATGTGTAATTGATCATTTTCCTGATGATATTATTTCTCAAGATGACTTTAGACTTGGTGTTGAGGCAATGCGTTTTAAAAGAGAGTATCTCATCCAGTGTCACACCGTGATATTTTGGTATTCAACAGTGCTGTAATTGGTCCCCTTGCCACATATCATCCAACCCTTCCCTTGAATCTCAATTTTGAAGGTGGAAAGCACAGACTTGGGTCTTCTGCGGTTTGGGCTTCAAGTGGTTGACAGTATAATATCATCCTAATTCCTCAAGTGCTACCAGATTTTCCCAGCTATCTCATCAAAAGCTGATTCTGGTGCAGCCACTGCTGTGTTGTCTATATAGATGAATAGACGTGTATTGTCTGGTTGATCATTTTTATATATTTTATATGATGTTGGAGAAAACGCGCTACCTTTTGACACCCTGTTCCTCTGCCTTCTGGTTTCTAGTCCAGTGCCTTAACACATCTGATGTTTTTCCCCCCTTCTGCACTTAAAATTTTAAATAATTTTAATGTATTTCTCTACTACATTGTTGCATTGGTTTTACTTGTTCAATATAGTCCTTAATAAAATTATTGGGGGCGGGGGAAACAATGCAAGTACAAAAGAATAGAGCATAGGCAGGAAATCATCATACATATTTCTCCTTTTTGGGCCACTATGGCTTGCTGGATACACCTCATTTACACTGAGTAATGCAAATCTTCCAGATGTCCTAGGGCAGGGGTGTCAAACTCGATTTCACTGAGGGCTGCATCAGGGTTGCATGTGACCGCAGGAGGGGGGGTGGCAGCTGCGATGGTCTTCTGCAGCCCTCTGCCAGCAAAAATGGAGGTCGGCGGGACCATGTGCAGCCCCCTCTTGGCCCTGTTTCTGGCCGTGAGGCCTCCTGCAGCCCTCTGCCAGCGAAAATGGGGCCCGGGATACCGCACGCAGCCTCCCAAACTCCATTTTCACTGGCAGAGGCACCACAGGCTGGTCCTTTGCTGTTTCCAGGGCAGCCCCGTGGGCCAGATTTAAGCACCCCATGGGCAGGATCCGGCCCGCGGGCCTTGAGTTTGACACCCTGTCCTAGGGCAATGAAATGGATCTGAAAGATACCACTTAGGAGGATACTGAGGGAGGTTAGGATCAGGGATGGGCTTGAAACATTTTAGCAAGGGGTTCTCTGCCCAGTTGCTGGGTGGGCGTGGCCATGGTGAGTGTGGCCTAGTTAGCCTCCTGCACCATGGCGGGGGGCATGGTTTTGCCCTCCCCAGGCTCCGGAGGCTTTGCTCAAGCCTCCAGGAGGGCGAAAATGGCCTACCCAGACTCCAGAGGCCTTCTGGAGGCCGGACTCATTTCTGGCCTTCCCAAAATTCTGGTAGGCCCATTTTTCACCCTCCCAGAGCCTCCACGCATGCCCTGCACTTACCTACATTCAAAACGGGCTGTGTGGGGACTCCGGAGAGGGGCAGGGTGGGGTGGGTGGGGCCAGCTAAGAGTGGGATTTGGAGGTTCTCTGAACTGCACAGAATCTTAGCTAGCAGTTCTCCCTAACCCCTGCAACCCCCCAGCAGCCCACCCCTGGTTATGATGTTTGCGAATATGGGGTTGTTTCCAGTTACTGACTTTCTGTTGTTGACTTTTCTCCTTTGTCTCAATCTTTCCAGGTGTGGCTGTGTGGTGGCAGCATGGAGGTTCTCCCTTGCTCTCGAGTGGCCCACATTGAGCGCAAGAAGAAGCCGTACAACAATAACATTGGCTTCTACACCAAGAGGAACGCACTGCGGGTGGCCGAGGTGTGGATGGATGATTACAAGTCCCATGTATACATCGCATGGAACCTGCCGTTGGAGGTGAGTCAACATACTTACTGTAGATCTCCATCATCTGCCTTTTCTCCTAATGTCCTTTCAGTGAATCTGTGAGGGACTATGCCTATAGCAGAGAATCTTTCAGCCTTCTGTAGGCATCCTATTTGTACAAACACACACACTACATAAACCACATGGTAGCTCTGTCATACAAAGAGGCTATAGAAATCTAATTCCCCCTCTTTTGAATTACTCCTGCTCCAGCTCTTCTTTTTTTCCCTTTTATGAGAGGGAGGAGACCTTGACCTTCTCTTCAGACATTGCTGGAACAAGTGATTTCATCACAAAATGCCAATCTGCCTGCTTTCAACTTGTCAAATGGAGTAAAGAAAGGGTGATCTTTGCTCCAGACAGGAAAAAAAATGTCCTGACCCAATATTTAGCACATATACACCAGAAACCACACTGATTTTTTTCTTTTTCTTTCTCTTCTTTGTTTACATTCTTAATAGAAAGGGAAAAGAGGAAAAGATGAGGTGGTACAGAGATGGAAGTTTCCAAACTGGGTTATTATGGGGCTAAAGTATCTTTAGGTAAAGGTTCCCCTTGCACATTTATTTATTTATTTACTTTATTTCGAATTTATATACCGCACCTTCTCCCGAGGGACTCAGGGTGGTGTACAGCCAGATTAAAATATACAATACAAACATTAAAAACAATTAAAAGGATATATATTAATTTGGCCCCAATTTAAGATAACAAACCAATTAAAAATATTTAAAAATATGTTAAAAAATATGTTAAGCCAGCCCGACTTGCTGAAAAAAGAAAGTTTTAAGGGCACGGCGGAAGGTACCGAGGTCTTGGATTCTCCTTATCTCTGGGGGCAGCTGATTCCAGAGCGTAGGTGCCCCCACAGAGAAGGCCCTACCCCTGGGGGTCACCAGCCTACATCGTTTGGCTAATGGCACCCCGAGGAGGCCCTCTCTGTGGAAGCGCACAGGTTGCTCCCACAGCAACCTGTGCGCATACGTGCTAGTCGTTCTCGACTCTAGGGGGCGGTGCTCATCTCCGTTTCAAAGCCGAAGAGCCAGCGCTCTCCGAAGACATCTCCATGGTCATGTGGCTGGCATGACTAAACGCCAAAGGCACATGGAACGCTGTTACCTTCCCACCAAAGGTGGTCCCTATTTTTCTACTTGCATTTTTTACGTGCTTTCGAACTGCTAGGTTGGCAGAAACTGGGACAAGTAACGGGAGCTCACTCCGTTACACGGCACTAGGGATTCGAACCACTGAACTGCCAACCTTTCGATTGACAAGCTCAGCGTCTTAGCCACTGAGCCACCACATCCCTAAAAAAAAGTCCTAAAAAAAGTAACTTTGGAAGCTCCCAAATAATATCATAACATTTCCAGTGACTTCATATGGACCGAATTCTAGGAACTGTGATGGGATGGAAAATAGACCTCAGCTTAATTTCAGATTTTGCTTTTTCACTTGAAAGTACATCATTTCCACATGAACATTTTACAGGCACCAGTAGGAGATGACCAGGGGGAGCCTGAAGGCAGGGTCAAATGCATCATCTGTTTGGAGTCTACATCCCCAAAAGAGACCTAAGTCCTGCCCCCTTGAAGTCTATTGTCTGTCATCTGGTGCCAATTCACCTTGATGTTAGTAGATCAGGTTCTTGTGTACAGGTTACATGGAATAAACTTGCTGTGCTTTTTTATCTCAAGCTTGGCTCCTGGTTTCTTGCACCTGACAGAACCCACCTGAGTGCCAGTTTGCTCCCAGTTTAATTGGAAAGCTCCATTTTTGACAGAGATGAGCAATGTGACCCAGTGGTGAAATCCAATTTTTTTTACTACCGGTTCTGTGGGTGTGGCTTGCTGGGCATGATGTGGCTTGGAGGGCGTGGCTTGGTGGGCATGGCAGGGGAAGGATACTGCAAAATCTCCATTCCCTCCCCACTCCTGGGGGAAGGACATTGCAAAATCTCCATTTCCACCCCACTCTGAGGCCAGCCAGAGGTGGTATTTGCTGGTTCTCTGAACTACTCAAATTTTCCGCTGCCGGTTCTGCAGAACCGGTCAGAACCTGCTGGATTTCACCCCTGATGTGACCCCACTGTCCAAGAGTGACCATTTATATAGATCATTCATATAGATAAGTGTGCAATTCATATAGATCAGGGGTATCAAACTCAATTTCATTGAGGGCTGCATCAGGGTTGTGTTTGACTTTTGGAGGCCGGGGTGGATGTGGCCAGGGTAGGCATGGCCAGCATGATATCACTCATGTTGGGGTGCCTGTGGTGGCCCAAGCGCTCTGCCAGTGAAAATGGGCTCCTAGGCCCTGTTTTCAGCTGCAACGGCCTCCTGCAGGCCTCTGCCAGAGAAAATGGAGCTTGGGGGTGGCTGGGTGCGGCCCCCCTGAGTTTCAATTTTGCTGGCAGAAGGCAGTAGGAGGCTGTCCTGGCTGAAAACGGAGCCTGGGATGGCTATGTGCGGCCCTCCCAAGTTCTGCTTTTGCTGAGAGGCACCACAGACCGGTCCTTTGCTGTTTCCAGGGCAGCCCTGCGGGCCAGATCAAAGCACCCAGTGTGCCAGATCCAGCCCACAGGCCTTGAATTTGACACCCCTGTTATAAATGCTGGAGCCCAAGCTACTTCATACCAGTGAATTTTGACGGCTGAAATTGTTTACTATCAGCCTCCCACCTGAAGAATGCTAAAATGGTTATGTCTGTGGAGTTTCTCAGTCATCCAGGTCATGGTTGTCCCAAAGGTGTTTTTTCAAAAGGCAACTGGACATTCTTTGGTTTTTTCCCTTGAAGACATTTTTTTTTTAATTTGATTTATATGCCGCCCTTCTCCAGAGACTCAGGGCGGCTTACAATGCGCTAAGCAATAGCCTTCATCCTTTTGTATATTTATACAAAGTCAGCTTATTGCCCCCACAATTGGGTCCTCAATTTACCTACCTTAGAAAGGATGGAAGGCTTGAGCCTTGGTGAGATTCGAACCTGTAGTAATTGCAGGCAGCTGTGTTAATAACAGGGTGCATTAGACCACTGTACTATCAAGGCTCTTCATTTCAGGAAATGAAGAATCTTCTTGGATGAGAAGTGAAATGTCTTCAAGGAAAAACAAAGAAAGTCCAGTTGCCTTTTGAAAAAAAACACCTTTGGGACTTTAATAGTTATGTCTCTGAAAGGCTTCTTATAAGTATCTTGCTTTAAATACGGTATGACCTGAGGGTCCCCAGACAGCCTTTAAATTGCTATTTTTCTCAACCCTCATTCCAATAGCAACATTTTGAGGAATAAAACCTAAAAGCAAACAAATATATAGAAGTGTGGTGCTTCACTACAAGAGGGAACCCATCTATACCCCATGACTTTCTTTTTTTTTTCTTTCTGAATGTAAGTAAGGAAAACTTGAATTGAATTCCAATTCCTGAAGATTTCATGGATATGTCTGTGTTATTTTCTTGGAAACAATGTGGAAGTGCTTCGCAATTGCCTTTTTAATGATTTCTTTTTAACCTCCCAATGTATCACCTGCTGGTCTCTCATTCTAATACTAATCAGGGCTAACACCGTTTCCCTTTCCAAGCTCTGCCAAAGTCATCTAAGTGCTGACTTCCATATATATTATTTTCTTAATTACAGTAGGCCAGAATAGTGCCATTTTTTTCAATTTTCCAGATATTTTTTTTTCACTTTACCATCTAGGCTACAGATCTGGACTTCCTAATATTCTCCCTCCAAGTGCCAACCACATCAAACTTTTCTCAGATTTTTTGAGTTTGACTAAAGCAAGCTAAGTATTGCCCTCTGTTGTGACATTTCTTTGCATTTAAAAAAAAAGCAAGCAGCAATACTAATTTAATAATCAGTTTGACAGCTAGGTGGGGAGAGTTTTACTAGTGAAGAGACATTGTCAGTTGGTAAAGGATAAGGTTCCCCTCGCACATATGTGCTAGTCGTTCCTGACTCTGGGGGGGGGTTTCTCATCTCCGTTTCAAAGCCAAAGAGCCAGTGCTGTCCGAAGACGTCTCTGTGATCATGTGGCCGGCATGACTAAATGCCAAAGGCTCACGGAACGCTGTTACCTTCCCATCAAAGGTGGTCCCTAGTTTTCTACTTGCATTTTTTATGTGCTTTCAAACTGCTAGGTTGGCAGAAGCCGGGACAAGTCACGGGAGCTCACCCTTTTACCCGGCACTAGGGATTCAAACTGCTGAACTGCCCACCTTTCGATCAACAAGCTCAGCATCTTAGCCACTGAGCCACGGCGTCTCTCAACATTGTCAATACAGAAGCCAATTGTTTATTCAGCCTTGTTAGAAATGAGATCTTGGACTTTTAATCAGGCTTAAAAACTTATTTCTTCCTTCTCTGGCACGTTTAGTTTTACTGATTTCGGCCTTTGTTTTTCTGTTTATCATCTCCTTTGGTGTGTTTTATTGATTTTTTTTTTTTTGCTTTTATCTTTGTTCTTTGCCTTGAGAGTTGTCATCTTGAAAGATAAGCTCTGTGTGTTTTCTAAGCCACTAATCGAGCATAGGTTGAACTCATTAAAAATGAAGAAAGAAAGAAAGAGAAAGGGAGAAAGAAAGGGAGAGAGAGAAAGAGAGAGAGAGAGAGAGAAAGAAAGAAAGAAAGAAAGAAAGAAGAAAGAAAGAAAGAAAGAAAGAAAGAAAGAAAGAAAGAAAGAAAGAAAGGAAGAAAGAAAAGTGGATCCTGAATCAAATCTCCCAGACAACAGAAGCTATAATTCCAAATATTCAGAAAAATTCACTTACCCTGAAAGATATTTCTTTTCAGACTGGAGAGTATAAAAATTGAGAAAACCTATTTTGCTTTCTAAAAAGATTCATATTTTTTTTTTCCTTTAGTATCTGAAAAGTGAACACAATGTCTCAAAAACGTGTTAAAGATATATGGTGATTGAAAAATAGAAAATTATAACTGGGACTATCAGCTAAATGTGGAAAAACTCCTTAACCAATTTTTGCCCTTTATAAGGGATTTTAAAAACTTTCTTCATCCCATCAAGTGTTTAATTACTTCTTTCCATGGCATTTCTTATTGTATGAGATTACCCAGTCCCTGCTGTTCACATTTTAGTCCTCCAAAGATTTCTGAGTTTTTCTTTTTCCTTTTCAGCTTTTTTTCCCTTTCACTTATGAAATATGAGATTTCCATAAACATTTAGATAGATGGTGCTGTTTGGGGCTGCAAATTCATTCAGTGGCATTCGTTTCTGAACACTGGCAAGAGAAAGAATGAAAATTCAATTTATGGGAGCATAATAGTTTGGTCTCACATCAGTCATCTTCCTTAACAATAGTAACTACCACAACAATTAAAAAGTATCAACAGCAAAAGCTTCCACGAATATTGACTTCCACTGCCTATTATGCTTCAGTCAATCAAGATTTTCACATAACTCTTCAGTATTTCCGTTAGATAGAGAAGACGTAGACTATTTTAAATACCTTTAATTAAAGGGTGCATTTTACCCCAAGCATACTATAATTTTCTGTGCAACATAGAATCTCTAATCTAATCTTTCAAGCCAACATCTGGTTGCCCAGATCACAGCTACTAAGAGGAATTTGCAGTCTCCGACATTTTTCAGAAACAAAGATTGCTTGCAAAGACAGGCAGATATAGAGGGATGCAGTGATGGCATTGATAAATTTAGTTGAATTTCTCTTTCTTCTCTCTTATCATTTGTCTTCATGACTTCTTAATCCTTTTCTCTGCTTTGCATAACTTTGCTTACTTTGAAAAAAATAGCACGATGGGTATGTATATATGTATGAAAATAGTGATGATGATGAAATGTTTACAATGAAGGTGACAATGGTGACAATGATGATGATGATGATGATGATGATAGGTTTGGAGAAACAAACTCTCATTAAAGAACAAGCTAACCAGGCTTCTTAAAATTATAAATTTAACAGAAAAACAGATATGAGGAATCAATGAAAAGAAGATAATGAAGAGTCATCAATAAAATTAATAATGTTTTATGAATCAAACCAGGGGGAAAACATTCTAAGAGATGTGAAAAGAGAATGAGAGGAGCGGGAAGATACTTGGGGAAGCGAAACAGGAGTCTTGGCTGGTAATTTCAAAGCTAGACAGTGGAAGAGGGTAGGGATGGGAGAAACACTTAGATTGACTAGGCACACTCAATAGATAGATTGACTAGGCACAATGATATAGACACAGATACAGACAGATAAAGATTTAAGAGAAGAATATGGGAGGCAAGTCAAAAAAAGAATAAGAATTAAAGTATTGATGCGGACAAGAGATGATGGATAGAAGGCGGATAGGAAAAAGAAGAAAGAAAAAAATCTTTTTTTTTCTTTTTCTTTCCTTTTTTTATTATGGTGGCAGGAGGAGAAATTAGAACAGAGATAGGAATGTGTTCAATAAGAGATTGAGGGATTACTTGTATCACCTTTACATGATGAAACAAAAGTAATAATAAAATGGGAAAATTAGAGATTGAATGATGGAATTACTAAGTAAGTTTAAATAAAATTGTGATTGGGAAATGTTGAGCAATTAAATAACGAAAAGAAAATATTTTAATATAAACATGTACATTAATACTAGAATGATATAGACTGGATGAAAGCAAAGAATATGAATAGAGTTATTTTGTATGTTTAAATAATATCGTGATTGGCATTAGAATAGTATATTGAAACATTGAATAATGAAACAATGAAGGATAGTATTTTAATATAAATAGATTTGAAGAGGGAAATATGGGAAATATGAATAAGAACTAAGTATTAAAAATGGGAAAATTAGAGATTAAATAATGGTATTATTGAGTTTGTTTAATTAATATTATGATTTGCAGTGGAATAATAAGGTGAAATAAAGAGTAATAAAATGATGAAAGAACATATTTTAATATAAACAGATGTATTAATAGTGGAATATAGATTGGAAGAATGTAAAGAATATGAATAGAATTAATTTGCATGTATAAATAATATTGTGATTGGTATTAGAATTGTATATTTAAATATTGAACAATGAAATAATGAAGGATAGTATTGTAATACAAAGGGAACGTCTTTTAATATAATGGTGACATGAATAAAAGTTAGAATAAAGACAGAAATAAAAGAAGGGGAATATTAGTAGACACATTTTTGTAAAATAAGACAAATGCAAGGATAAGAGGGAGGTTTAGAAACTGAATGGCGGTAGTATTATGTATGTTTAAACAATATGAAATAATAAAAGATTATAACTTGATATAAATGTGCATTACTACTAGAAATATATAAGCTGGATGAATGTGATAACTGTGATCAATAATACTATTTTATCTGTACTGTAATGGATGTCAGCCAGGTGTCACACTGTTCACACATTGATATGCATATGTAATATTAAAAGAAAACTTGATAAAAAAATAATAAATTTAACATTCTGGATATCACATCAAACCAGGACTCCCCAGCAGATATTAATGCTGAGAAGGTTACCTTTTTATATGTCCTAGCCTGCATTCCAAAAAAAGAGGTGCCTTTCAGAAATTGAAATCATAACCTCTTCCTATGAAACATCTTGATTTTGAGATTAAAGTGCCCATTTCTGCACACAGGACTAAGTTGCTTTGAACATTCTTGAGTTATCTCAAATTCCAAAAAGAATCAGAGTAGATTTTCCCTTTGATTTTAAAATCAAAATGTAGCGTGCTGATTTCAGAATGTTTCATCTATTGCCATTCATAAAGATTTCAGGAAAATATTTTGCTATTCTTAGTTGGAGGTGATGGGGATTGAACTTGTGATCTTCTCACGGGTGTCAAACTTACCACATCAGGTTGCCGTCACAGGATGTTTTGCCACTTTTTCTCATTTGCGGAGCTGGGGTGGGCGTGGCCTGTGCATGAGGCATCTGGCCCATGGGCCGCCAGTTTGACATCCCTGTTCTAGATATAATTCAATGCTTTGCCACTGAATTATAGTCCGTATTTGTAGCTGTATTGTGTCAGCATGGTGGCTCACATGGTTAGAATGCTGAGTTGACAATCAGCAAGCCCACGTTCAAGACCCAAGTACTGCTGGGTGGTGGGGTGAGCTCCCATCATTTGCTCCAGCTCCTGCCGACCTAGCGGTTCAAAAGCATGCAAACGTGAGTAGATAAATAGGTACCATTTTGGTGGGCTTATTAATGGGGATCTGAAAGGAGCTCCCCAACTGAGCATCCCCCAGGCAATGGTGATGTCACCATCATGATGTCCTTTCAACCTGCTTCTTCTGACACAAATACGACAATGACGATGACAATCTGTATTGGCTGGGATGAGTGGGAATTTTATGCCGGGGGTGATTTTTAGGCCAAAGACTACTCACACTTTAAAGAAACTGTTGGCCTGCCTAACAGATGTTGTCACAATCTTGTTCTATGTTTCTTTGGGCTTTCCAATGTGAAAAGAAGAGAAAGACCTCAAGAGTGGCACCATAAGCTATGGAGGTAGGAAAATCCAAAAGAAAGATTCCTAACAATGTGTTTTTAAAAAGCAGGAGTGAACATGTGGTTATTTCAGAGCATAGCAACAATAAGAGGAAGTGATGATGTAACCATGTACCTGTCTTTCAGAACCCAGGAATTGATATTGGGGATGTTTCTGAGCGAAAAGCATTAAGAAAAAGTTTGAAATGCAAGAGTTTCCAATGGTACCTGGACCACGTCTACCCAGAAATGAGAAGATACAATAACACCATTGCCTATGGAGAGGTAATTAAGAAGGAACTACTACATGGAATATGTAGGAATTGACTGTGAATTTAGAGTACATTTTATGTGTCTCCTCCAACCATTTTCTAATGAGATCTGCAGGGAGTAACTAGAATCAGACAGTTTTTCTCAAAACTGGAATTAAAACTCCTTCAGCCAGCCCCAATGGCTATCTAATGTCATTCTTGCCTTCAGAACAGAAGATTACAAATATCTCTGGAATCAGTTTCATTTGGTCATGTTCCATTTAATCTACACCAGGAGACTTAATATCTTTCAGGGGTTTGGGAGTTCAGTTACTATTCTTTTTGAACGTTGTCTTTGCTAGTTATCACTTGCAGAAGATGCCATCAAGATTTGCACCATTGCTGTACACGTCAGCTTTCTACTTGAGAAATTTTCCTGACTCTTTATTGAGATGATATAATTTCTTAACATTAGTTATCATAACCTGATATAACATGATATAACCATATCATGTTTTAATATGGCTGTAAACCGCCCTGAGTCCTTCGGGAGAAGAGCAGTATAGAAATGTAATAAACTCAGCTCAACTCAACTCAACCAGAACTGATAGGAATTATAGATTAATCACATTGGTGGGTCAGGAGTTTCCTATTTCTGGTGTAGGCACCACTAAGCTAAATTGGTTTTAGGTAATAGGGACTAGGTGCCATCTATTTCTAATCTCAGTTCAGTTTGGATGCCCTGCTCGATCTGATTTAACCGTTCAAATTGATTTGGAAATCCACTTGATTTCAACTGTCAGTCCATTTGGGAAGTTGTTTTGATTCTTCATTCAATCAAGTGATTTTCAAATTGTTTTTTTGAACTTGGCAACTTCTCTACCACCAGCCTTGTGATATCTGGCCATTATGGCTGCAATAGAGCACGCTGTAAGCAATATCCCAGCTGTGCTAACGGTGGTCCTTTTTTTTTTTTCAATGGAAAGACTAAAGCTGGGGTCCTTTGCTTGCAAAGCACATTTCTTACATGCATAATAAGGTCCTCTTTATTGTGAACGTGGACCACCAATGTAACAATTGCATTTGAGGCTCTCTCTTTGAAGAAATGGCTCAAAATAGGTGGCCATCTAACATCTCATTGTTATCAAATCAAAGTGGTGGTAGCATCTGACGGCCTTACCCTGGTCTCTGTTCTAAATAATGTCAAGCATTGGTTCTGATGAGGAGACAACATTCTTCTTTGCCTGAAATTTAGTGGAGAGAATTTAGTTGTAGAATTCACAAAAAATCCAGATGGCTGTAAGTGCTCTTTGATTCACGGCCCATTCTACTTTATGATGAATCACACCGGGTATGAAAAAATGTTATGTTTCTCAGCCCTAATTATAAAGAGATGAGTGGATGTCTTCTGTTGTTTCTTTTTTATTTCATGCATTGGGTTTAGTCTTGCAATCCTCTGGATTCCCATTTGGTTAGGAAGGCTTCGACGCTGTATTGATTTGCAATATTTGTCAGGCTGTATCTCTTGTCATCACTTAACATTAGTTCCATAGCCAAGGCTGAAGGAAATTATAGACCAACCACATCTGGTGGGACATGTGTTTCCATTCCTGGTCTGGCAGTACCAAGCTACTGTTGGTTTTAGACAGCATGCTCTGAATTGATTTTAGAAGTATGGATAGGGTGCTGTCTAATTCTAATCTCAATTCAGGTTGGATGGCCTGGTTGATCTGATTTAACCATTCAAATTGGTTTGCCAATCTAGATTTCAACTGTCAGTCCATTTGGAAAGTTGTTTGGATTCTTCATTCAACCAGGTGATTTTCACATCAAATTTCCAAATTTAAGTTTTACGCAATTCTATTTTAACAGTCACTTCCTAAATGTAGTTATATAGAGCTGTGGCTCGGTGGGTTGCGTGCAGAAATTGAAATCCAACATCTCCAAGTCAGTTTGAGAAAGATTCCTGCTGGAAACTTTGCATTCATTATCATTCTTTAACATATCTATTAAATAAAGCCATTTTTCTGGGTTGACACAATGCAGTGAACCAAACTAATAGCTGGATTTACATGACCCACTTAAGCCACAAATGTACAAAAAAGAAAACAACTGACCACGATTTGATTCTGATTAGAGCGGTCTATAAGTCTTATAAGTAAGCAAATAAATAAAGTGAATGTTACTGCAACATGCAATTATAATATTCTGGTTATGTGTTTGGGTGGACATAGCCAATGCATGGTATACTGAAGTTGATAGATCAATAATTTGACATTTATAGTCATAAGGTCCCATACCCTCTTCACTCTTCAACCCACATTTCTTTGTTGATGAACAGAGCCATTGTCTGCTCTGAGCTCACTTTGAACACCAGAGCTCAAAATAGGATCTTACACTTAAGCAGGAAAAACCAAAAGTACACATATAGACTGGGTGAAACCAGGCTTAATAGCAGTAACTGTAACAGGAATCTTGGAATCTTATTGGACAACCAGTTAAATATGAGTTAGCAGTGTGCGGCAGCCAAAAAACCCAATGTAATCTTAAATTGCATTAACAGAGGGATACAATCAAGATCATGTGAGGTACTAATAAAGCCTTAGGAAGACCAGACCTAGAATACTGCATCCAGTTATGGTCACCACACTAAAAAAGATGAGGAGACTCTAGAAAAAATGCAGAGAAGAGCAACCAGGGGACTGGAGATTAAAACATATGAAGAACGGTTACAGGAACTGGGCATAGCTACTCTAGTGAAGAGAAGGACCAGGAGAGACATGATAGCAGTGTTCCAGTATTTGAGGGGCTGCCACAGAGAGGAAGGGGGTCAAGCTGTTTTCCAAGGCACCCGAAGGCCAGACAAGGAAGCTGATCAAAGAGAGATTCAACCTGGAAATAAGGAGAAATTTTCTGACAGTGAGAACAATCAACCAATGGAATAGAAGTTGCCTTCAGAAGTTGTGGGAGCTTCATCACTGGAGGCTTTCAAGGACTGCCATTTGTCAGAAATGGTGTAGGGCCTCCTGCTTGGGTGGGGGGTTGGACTAGATGACCTACAAAGTCCCTTCCAACTCTGTTACTCTGTTAATCTCTATTAATAGGAGAAACAGCTCTAGCAAACAACTGTTGGAAAGTCAGCTATGGGTGGGCTATCTGTATAGTGGGGCTGATGGACATTCACAATGTTCTCCTTAACTGAAAACTCCCACCTTTTATTGCAGTGTATGAATAGGGCAGATGTCCTCCACTTCTTCATCATATTCAGCCCAGAATTAAAATGTAGATTGATATGCAGTGGAAAGTCATTGCATAGCAGCATCTGGGAAATTTGCAGAAACCCTCACTTGCTGGCCATTTGCTTGACAAGCTGGCAGAGGGCCTAAGGAAACAGACAGAAATAATAATTCACCCATAATTCATTTTCAATTGCTATTCTATTCCAGACATAACCAATCACTTATGAATGGACATTCGGTTTGTTCTGTTTTTTTTTTTACAGTGTATCAAGTTTCCATTTCACCTAGAGAAGGAGGAAGACGAGGAGGAGGTTTTAGGTTTTACCATTTTGAAAGAGAGAGGAAAAAATCTTTAATCTCCCATCACTTCTTTTAAAAAGATAAATGTTTGGCGGAGAGGAGAAAAATGCTAGGAGAGAAAACGAGAAAGATTCCTGGGAGACTCATCCTGTAAAGATAACAATAATGTATTTCCTTCTATTACCTATGTACCAGGGTAGATAATTCTTGATATCTGGTGGATTAATAGTAACTTGGGGGAGGAAAGCCCACAGTGAGTTTGGCTAGGATGAAGAATGGATAAAATATGTTACTCTTATGTTAGTCCAGCTTTGACCTGGGATGTTTTCCATTACTACTTTTTTTAACAGTGTGAATTGTTTTTTAGGACAGTGGGAATTAATTTCCATTTTTTTCATTAATATTTTTTTATTGTTTTATATCATACGTTTATTTTCTATGTTGAGCAGTGTGCTCTCTACATGTCCAAGATGTTAACATGCGAACGTACAAACATCATCATCATTGTCATTATAGTCATATATACCTTAACAAATATGCAGTAACATATAAACAGATATGCGATAATATCCATCATATTATAACATATATTGTCTTTCATTATAGTGTTGATTATATAACTATCAAGTTAAAAAAAAATACCCATCTGTTTTCATTTCTCTTACACACTATATTTCACCCAGTTTTACCACGACAGTCCATCTCTTTCCTTCTTTCTTCTCCTTCTCTCCCTTCCCTTCTCCCCTCCACTTCCCTCTCCTTCCCTCTCTCCTTCTCCTCTCCTCCCCTCTCCTTCCCTCTCTCTTTCTCTTCTCCCCTCTCTACTTCCCCCTCCTCCCTTTTCCTCTCCTCCTCTCCCTTCTCCTCTCTCTTCTTCTCCGCTTCCCTCTCCTTCCCTTTCTCCTACTCCTCTCCTCCCATCCACTTCCCTCTCTCCTTTTCCCTCTCTCCTTCCCTCTCTTTCCTTCTCCTCTTTCCCCCAACCTTTCTCCCCTCCTCTCCTCTCCTCCACTCCACTCCATTCCACTCCACTTCCCTCTCTCCCATCATCACTCCACTTCTCTTTCCTTCCATCTTTTTCTTTTCGTTGTTGCATATTTCCAATTCCCTACAGAATACGGTGTATTTTCCAGATACCATCTCTTTCAAATATAACTATACATTTTCTACAGTGGGAATTGATTTTCAGACTGCATATGTCCCCACTCTCCTCCCCACCCCAATCTCCATTGTTGTGATCTCAGGGAGTATCTATTCTGTAATGGCACTCTACCCAATGGGACAGATTTCTACTCCCTTCTCCAAGAAATGGATGGTTCCAACTCTTGTAGCATTTTGGAAGTCCACAAAAATCTCACTCTTCCTCCAGACATTGGGGCTGAGTTAGAAGTCACTGAAACATTGGCATGGGTGTAAATGATAAATAGCCTTTGATTTGGTTTCTTTTTGGACTTTTTATTTTGTTCACCATCCCAAGTTTCTCAGACTGACGGGCAGGCATATAAATTGGATGGAAGGATGGATGGATGGATGGATGGAAGGAAGGAAGGATATTATAATGAGAGCTGATTGTGAAGGGCATTATTGTTTTGTGAAAGAACCAGGAAATGGGTTGATGGTTCAGGTAGTCCTCGACTTACAACCACAATTGAGCCCAACGTTTATGTTGCTAAGTGAGACATTTGTTAAATGAGTTTTGCCCCACTTTATGACCTTTCTTACCACGGTTGTTAACTGAATCACTGCAGTTGTTAAATGAGTAACAAGGTTGTTAAGCAAATCTGGCTTCCCCATTGACTTTGCTTGTCAGAAGGTTGCAAAACGGGATCACATGACCCCAGGACTCTGCAACTGTCATAAATATGCATCAGTTGCTAAACATCCAAATTTTGATCAGATGACCGCAGGGATGCTACAACAGTCGTAAGTATGGAAAACGGTCATAAATCACTTTTTTCAATGCCGTTGTAACTTTGAATGGTCACTAAACAAAGTGTTGTAAGTCGAGAACTGCCTGTATAGTAGAATTCTCCCTCATGCAACTCACAGCTTGAAATGCCAAAAGAAAATGCTTGAACCAAATTGCTTTAAATGTTCTGGGCTTAGCCTGGCCTATCCACCTGACAGAGAGAAAGGCTCTCATGCCCAGGGCTTCCTCATTGTAGTCAAAATGGCAACGAATACAACTTCTACATTTCTAAAAATATGGGATTGGGATCCAAACCAATACCACACACAGTCTGTTTTCTGATCTCCTGTAACATTTTCTATTCTGTCAACCTCATTTTCATGGGTCCCAAGCAGTGGTGAAATCCAATTTTTTTTACTACCGGTTCTGTGGGTGTGGCTTGGTGGGCATGGCTTGGTGGATGTGGCAGGGGAAGGATACTGCAAAATCCCCATTCCCTCCCCACTCCTTGGGGAAGGATATTGCAAAATCCCTATTCCCTCTCCTCTCCTGGGGGAAGAATATTGCAAAATCTCCATTCTCTCCCCACTTCTGGGGGAAGGATACTGCAAAATCCCCATTCCCTCTCCACTCCTGGGGGAAGGATATTGCAAAATCTCCATTCCCACCCCACTCTGGGGCCAGCCAGAGGTGGTATTTGCCAGTTCTCCGAACTGCTCAAAATTTCTGCTACCGGTTCTCCAGAACCTGTCAGAACCTGCTGGATTTCACCTGGACTTAAGAATTCGTTTTAGTAAGCTGTGGTGAATTTATCTCTGTGTTTGATCTACAGCCTCCCTGGCTGCTACGATTTGCTTTCTGTGGGACTGTGTGGAAAGCCAAGAAGGCTGCCGATTGCTGGAGAGATAATGGTGAACTAAGAGATAATATTAGTAGCTCGGGTTGGTAGTTGGGCTGTTGGTTTGGGCTCCGCGCTTGGCAACTTGGTTGCAAATGTTTCGTCACCATTTGAGGAGACATCGTCAGTGTGCTTTGAATTGTGCTTGTCTATCAGAACATTGGTCTTTAAATACTTTTTATGTGATGCAGATTAGTGTGGATGTTGTTTGTTACTTCTAAGTCATGGTCTGATTGTTCATTAGCTGTTGTTATAAAGGCATGGTCTGTGGTTTTAAGTACCCTCTTAACTTAGTGTTTTTTGTTTTACATGACACAGACAGTACTTAAAACCAAAGACCATACCTTGATAACAACAACCAATCAACAATCAGACCGTGACTCAGAAGTAACAAACAACATTCAGACTAATTTGCATCACATAAAAAGGTATTTAAAGACCTGTGTTCTGACAGACGAACACAATTCAAAGCACACTGACGAGCTCTCCTCGAATGGTGACGAAACGTTTGCAACCAAATTGCCAAGCTCGGAGCCCAAACCAACAGCCCAACTACCAACCCAAGCTACTAATATTTGAACACATCTCAAATCAATAAAATCTTCCAGTAATTATAAGAAAACACTTGTCAAGAGAAGTGAGAAAACACTTGTCAAAAATGTCTTCATCTTACCCTTGCAAGATCTCATTCTGTTTTTGGATTTGTTACAGCTGAGGAACAACAAGATAAAAGATGTCTGCCTTGATCAAGGGCCACAGGAAAATCACACGGCGATCCTCTACCCATGCCATGGCTGGGGGCCACAGGTTAGAATTCGATTTGGTTACCATGATGTGATTTCAACAAGGATGCTGCAAAAGTTCTAATGTACTAGTGAAGAAGCCCGGGTGAATTCTGCACTGAGCAGGAAGTTGAATAGAATAGAATAGAATTTTTTTATTCACCAAGTGTGATTGGACACACAAGGAATTTGTCTTTGGTGCATGTGCTCTCAGTGTACATAAAAGAAAAGATACGTTCATCAAGAATCATAAGGTACAAAACTTAATGATAGTCATGGGATACAAATAAGCAATCAGGAAACAATATCAATATAACATTGTGTCGTATGGATACAAGCAACAAAATTACAGTCAAGCAACAAAATTACAGTCATACAGTCATAAGTGGGAGGAGATGGGTGGTGGGAATGATGAGAAGATTAATAGTAGTGCAGACTTAGTAAATAGTTTGACAGTGTTGGGAAAATTATTTGTTTAGCAGAGTGATGGCATTCGGGGAAAAAACTGTTCTTGTGTCTAGTTGTTCTGGTGTGCAGTGCTCTATAGTGTTGTTTTGAGGGTAGGAGTTGAAACAGTTCATGTCCAGGATGTGAGGGGTCTGTAAGTTGGACTAGATACTTCTAAAATCTGTTCCAAATTTAAGATTCTAGGGATCAATTAATTCAGGATTACCAAGATGGAAGGTAGCAATAGCACTTAGACTTATATACTGTCTCATAGTGCTTTACAGCGCTCTCTATGCCGATTGCAAAGTCAGCATATTCACCCCCACCCCCACAACAATCTGGGTCCTCATTTTACTGTCCTCGGAAGGATGGAAGGCTGAGTCAACCTCGAGCGGTCAGAATCAAATTCCTGACTATGGGCAGAGTTAGCCTGCAATACTGCATTCTAACCACTGCGCCACCGCGGATCTTAAATACAGGTAGTCCTCAACTTTCAACCATAATTGAGGCCAAAATTTATGTTGCTAAGCGAAATATTTGTTAAGTGAGTTTGGCCCATTTTACGACTTTTCTTGCCACAATATTTCAGCGAATCATTACAGTTCTTAAGTTAATGACCTGGTTGTTAAGTGAATCTCACTTCCCCATTGACTTTGTTTGACAGAAGGTTGCCAGAGGTGTTCACATGAATATGAACCAGTTGCCAAGCATACAAATCTTGGTCACGTGACCATGAGGACTCTGCAATGGTCATAAGTGTGAAAAATGGTCCTCAGTCATTTTTTTTCACGTAACTTCAAACGATCACTAAATGAACTTGTTGTAAGTCGAGGACTATCTGTATTGGAAGTCTTCAACCTTGGCAACTTTAAGACTTGTGGACTTTAACTCCCAGAGTTCCTCAGCCAGCTTTGTTGTCTGAGGAATTCTGGGAGTTGAAGTCCACAAGTCTTAAAGTTGCTAAGATTGGAGACTCCTGATCTGTATGATCAAATTTCAGATTCAACCTTTAACTTTATAGCATGTCAGCTTCCTTTTTGTTGTGTTTAAATAACAAAAAAATTAGAAGTAGACTGGGGAAAGGAAAATGGTGGGTATCGAAAGATGTAACCATGGACATAATTTCCAGACAAGAACATGGAGAGTTGGGATCCATAATTGGATCTCCTTCAATGGAATCAGGAAAGTCTTCCTTTTTGAAATGGGGTTTGTGCATCCCATTCAAGGATGTTTCTGGGGAAGAAGCATCTCCGTGTATGGAGCGCTTTCCTGTTTGACATTCAGGAATGTCAAAAGAATTTCTGTGTTTGCAGGGCCGTTTTCTTTTCTCTCTCTTTCCCCAAAGGTCAACTCCTGTGTACTTTCTACACTTGAATAGAGCTTGTGATCTGCTCTTTTTCTTTCTTCTGTGGCAAATCCTTTGCCTAGTGACTTTTCTAAAGTGGAATTCTTCCACCAATGTGTATAGTTATGTAGGTCTTTCATATTGGAATTTCCTACTTGCCCCAAACATTGGTTTCACAGTTGGACATGTGAGCAGATCTTTCCCTCCTCTGTCCTTTCACTTTATTTAGAGGGTAATCCAATCCACAGATGGTTAACAGAATATAAGAGAATAACAGAGTTGGAAGGGACTTGGAGGTTTTCTAATCAACCCTCTGTTCAAGTACCATTTCAGACAAATAGCAATAGCACTTAGACTTATATACCGCTTCACAGTGCTTTACAGCCCTCTCTAAGCGGTTTACAGAGTCAGCCTATTGCCCCCAACAATCTGGTCCTCATTTTATCTACCTCGGAAGGATGGAAGGCTGAGTCAACCTTGAGCCGGTGAGATTTGAACTGCTGAACTGCAGCCAGCAGTCAGCTGAAGTAGCCTGCAGTGCTGCACTCTAACCACTGTGCCACCTTGGACAAATATTTGTCCAATCTCTTTTTAAAAACTTCCAGTGTTGGAGCACCTACAACTTCTGGAGGAAAGTCGCTTCACTGATTAATTGTTCTAACTGTCAGGAAATTTCTCCTTAGTTGTGGGTTGGATCTCTCCTTAATTAGCTTCCATCCATTGCTTTTTGTCTTGCCCTCAGGTGCTTTGGAGAATAGCTTGACTACCTCTTCTTTGTGGCAGCCCCTCAGATATTGGAATGCTGCTATCACATCACCCCTAGTCCTTCTTTTCATTAAACTAGACATATCCAGTTCCTGTAACCGTTCTTCATATGTTTTAGCCTCCAGTCCCCTAATCATCTTTGTTGCTCTTCTCTGCACTCTTTCTACAGTCTTAACATCTTTTTTATATCCTGGCAGCCAAAACTGGATGCAAGCGTGGTCCAAGCGTGGTCTTACTCTTATAAAGAAGTACTAACACTTCACGTGCTATTGATTTTATCCTTCTGTTAATGCAGCTTGGCTTTTTTAGCAGCTTCAGCCATTTCCATCTGTTTTCTCTTTTCTGACTTGTGTGTAAAACTTTGCTGCAGAAACTGCAAGAATTTTGCTCTTACTCCTACCTCAAATTTTATTCCAAGAGTTGCTGTTTTATTTTATTTCATTTTCCACACCAGTATCCTTCAGAGTGACAGCAGGCTGCTCTTTTGGGAGGACCTTGAGGAAAGAAATGGCAAGGATAGTTTAGCAGACACCACAATTTGCTCCAATAGAGGTTTTCTAGTCATCCTTTCAGGGTAGCCCCATGTAGCATACATACTATCAGTTATGAAAATCTGCCCAGTCCAAGACCAGGCGAAGCACTGATGGATGAGACATAATTTGCAAAGGAGCACCTTCCTCCAAGTGCAGTGACAGTGACAGAACTAAAAGGCTTTCCAAGCTGTCAACCAGCTCTTTTAATCCCTCACAATTCTTCTTCTTCTCATTCTTAACGAACAGAGCTTGGAAATAATGGAACACATGTAGTCCTCCAATTATGACCATTGATTGATTTGAAGTTACAATGGCACTGAAGAAAATGACTAACAGCTGGTTCTTGCACTTATGACCACGGCCACATCCCCACAGACATGTGATTAAAATTCAGGCACTTGGCAATCGGCATGTATTTATGATGGTTGCAGCATCCGTGTGTCATGCAACTGCCAACCTTCTTAGCCAGCTTCTGACAAGCAAAGTTAATGGGAAAACCGGATTTCCTTAACAACTGCATGTTTAATTTAACAACTGCAGTGATTGGCTTCACAATTGCGGCAAAAAAGAAGGTTGCAAAATTGGGTGTGGCTCACTTAACAACCATAGCAATTCTGGTCCTGGTTGTTGTCATAAGTTGAGGAGTAGCTGTAGCCAGAGGTGGTATTCAGCCGGTTCACACCGGTTCGAGCGAACCGGTAGCGGCAATCACGGGTGGGCTTACCCACCCGCCCCGGCTCCACGTCGTGCTACTTAGGCATGTTTTTGAGGCCGGGCGCATTTGCAGAAGGCGCACAAGCGAGCAAAGTGTATGCGCAGAAGGCCAAGCGCATGTGCAGACAGCATACGTGCATGTGAAATGAACGTGTGTACATGGGGAGAACCGGTGGCAAAGGTAAGTGAAACCCACCCCTGGCTGTAGCTGATGAACTAGCATTCAGTATTTTTGAACCCCAACAAGTAACAGTAACAGAGTTGGAAGGGACCTTGGAGGTCCTCTAGTCCAACCCCCTGCTCACGCAGGAGACCTGTAGTAGGGATTCGAACCACCAAACTGCCGACCTTTCTGATCGACCAGCTCAGTGTCTCAGTTTAAGACATGTTAAGACATGTGGACTTCAACATGCTGGCTGGGGAATTCTGGATACTGAAGTCCACACATCTTAAAGTCACTCGGGTTCAGAAATGCTGAAGTACACTAACAGCTTTCTTTAAAACATGCTTGCAAGCAAGGCTGGCAGTTGCCTAGCCCTGTAATTAGAACGGTCCAAAATATTGTAAGCTTGAAATGTAGCAAACTCAAAATGACTATTTAAAAAAAACTTGTAACCCGGAACAAGACAGCCCAATTCTAGAGTTTTGTCCTAAATTCAAGTGAGATATTAAGTATTGCAATCATTGTTTCAAATGTTACAGTTGGAAACAAAGGAAGCTCAGAAGTAGTCCCAACTCCTTTTCTTGTCATCCTGGGGTCACAAAAATAGATGAGATGATAGTCCATGCTGAGCATTGTCTATCTAATTTAAAAGCAATTTAAAACTCTAAGAAATGGACTCAGTCTGGAAGGATCTCTCTGTTCTCAAATAAGAACACACATTCAGGAATATTTAAATGTGTTGACTTTAGCATTTAGAATATTACTTGAAATTGAGTGATGATCACTTAAAAAGTCATTGGCTCCTACCGTAAAGGAGAAAAACTGGAAAGTGAAGCAAACCATGGTTCCTTGAATCCCATTTAGGTCTTCATGAAGTATCCATGTGGTTTCAATCAATCAATCAACCAATCAATCAATCAGAATAGAGTTGGAAAGAACTATGGAGATCTTCTAAGTCCAACCTTCTGCTCAAGCAGGAGACCTTATACAATTTGAGATCTCTGGAATTTTCTTTGAAAGCTTATTTGAAATACAGTCCATGTGGGGCCATGATGCTC